TATCCGTTGCTCCCAGATTTTGTGATCGCGATTGTGAACACTTCCTTTGTCGTTGATTGGATCACAAAAAGATTATGGGGGATAGTAGAACGGTTGTTGCAGTCTTTGACCCTATTTGCAACTCATGTGGTTTCACAAAGGATGATAACAATATTCACAAAACGAACGAGGAAGACAGAAAATATTTTGTCAACTGTAAACATGCTCTCAGTCGAGAGGGAGAAAGTGACTTTACTCTGCACTGCACACTAACAGGCACGTGCTAAAAGCAAGACTGAAGCGGAAGTGGCCAGTCAGGAGCTCACTCGAAATCGCGGTTGATTAACCGGAGCTTTTTCCTTGATATAGAATCATAAAATTCTGCTTATTCCCCGGTAATTGTAAGTTTACATTAAATACACTCCACGAATTTCGGCCAGATTTTCATTAGTGAGGCCACAAATAAACACGGATTGCCGGTAAACGCAAGCAATCGTTGAACTTGGCTTGCGCTGAGGAGAGCCACACCGAGGACTTATTGTTAGATGTATACTATGCATATTTAAATATATCTATGTACAAAAGAGTGTTCAATAAATTTCACCGGGATCTGTTATATTAGAAAAAATACCCAACACAGTTGGTAAAATTTTGGTTAACATTAGATTGTATATGTCGCATTTAGAATGCACGATGCTGCTGTGGAATTTTAAGGAACCGGTTTGTCAAAAAGTACTATTCATGGGTAAGTCATACGCATGCATAGGAGTAGATTATATAATTGTCTGATCTTTCGTCTTTGGGCCACTAATATTAATTGTCCAGTGATTTTTCATAACATTTTTCATCATTGTAAGGTTTAATTTAGTTCAAATTTTGTATATAAGCAGTACTATGATTTACAGGGTACTGGTTTACAGATTACGTTTAGCCACTTCGTAAGCACGACACAATGAAGAGATTCATGAAAAAAGAAGAAAAAACAGAAAACACTGTTGACTAAAGCTGGGAATTCCACTCGTTATACCTCTTACCCACTTTTGCCTTCTCCTTGGTAATTATTTTTTTTACCATGGTCTAGTTCCGCCACCGAACATGTCTGGAGAATTTTTAGCGATTAACGGACAATCCAATCAGCTGGGTCAACAACTATTTCCTCGCGGATCGTTAGTTTCCCCGGGAATCGTCTTCACAAACATTCAAGATTCGTTAGTGCGGACGGGATCGAACATGACTTACAACGCCCAGGAAACAGGCACAAATCCCAATATGAATGCCCAAGCAGGGCAGCAAGTACCGAACATCCTGGTTTCCAGTCCAATTCATCCAATGTGAGTCCTTAAAATCGGTGTTTTATATGAAACCTTTGTGATGCTTCATTTTTGCTCTGCCATAGAGCATTCTTTTTCATACAATGCAGCCTAAAAGGGATGTATGTGTACTGAATGGTATTATAGTACTAATGTGGTAAGGCCTTACTGACTCACTTGAGCACTATGATAAACGGGCGTGTTGTAAACCCTCTTCGGTTCCTCATGACGTCTCGGTACTGCACTAAAGTAGATTTGATGTTCTAGAAGCAAAACGCGCGACAAAATCCTTTGACCGTTTGTGTAACAGTCCGTGTGTGTGTTTCACGAGAGATGAACGGTTGTGTTCAAGTTATGCTCCGATCTACATCACTAGGTGTTTCATTTTTGCACTAAATAATTCCACATTGTGGCACTGTATACAGGTATTGACCAAACTCATGAAACATCCTGACTTTTATCACAATTGTTCCTATCAACGCTTAGTATTTTGAGTCTCTTTCAAGGGACTGAATATGATAATACTCCACTTCAGTCGCAACATATCTGTGAAAATATTCACTTGTCTTTGCTTCCATGCTCCTTTGCATAAAATATTATTTGATTCCGAGCTTTAAGTTACGAAACACAAATTCTACCGTGACACTCAAGGTCACACAAATTCAAACGTTGATACATAAGAACTAAGAGTACTACTGTGTGAGATGAAAGTCAAAATAAGTGCTCTTCATCCATGGCTATCGATATACATACTGAAGAGCGAAAATGTATTTCCCAAAGCAGAACCATGTTGCACGAGTTTGAGCAATACCTGTATATAAATCATTATAAGGATATATTGAAAAATATATGGGTCACACACAGAGTCAGCGGGTCACGTGTATCACTGGAACCCTTTGAAATACTTTACAGCATCTCATTCGTGCAACGAATTATCATTTGCGTTACAAATCCACTGAATCTAATGTGATTGAAACCCAAGCATAGAGAGATAGTCAAGTTTATCTCATGCATTCACCCAAAAGGCAACGGATCAGCTAAACTGGTGCTGATTACGTGCTGGAGAGACTGTAGGTAAGAAGCTACTGTTTACCCGCGTACCGATCAAATACTGTTTCGACGCAACCCTTTTCTGTGAATTGGTAGAAACGACGTTAATTTACCATCGGCTATTTTTCTTATCGCCATGCGAGATCTGAGGATCAAAATTGGTGAATGTTTTGTCCGTACCAGCATGCGATCCAACCTGTTTTATGATTCCAGTTCGGCAGTGATCGTAAAACAGAAGAAAAGCATGAGGACGAATTCGGTGAATTAATTAGCCATGATTGAATGCAATGCAGTGGAAAATAATTTGATTTTGTTCCAACAACAATAGTTAAGTAAAACATTTGTGTTCTTGAACGGACTTTGTGAATCAATTTCCTAGTTCTACAGTTTTGCGAAACACCGGTCCATAGTTAACATATGCGTTGCGAATTGATACTTTATCAGGATATTTTAACCGAACTGTCGAAATCGGTTGACCAAAAGCTGGACACGATTCACCACCCAACTACGTCACATACTTTCACCTCAAAGGCTATTATCTACAACTCCGTAAAGTCCTCCCTATCAACCAGCACAGTCGGACAGCATCAAAAACAGACAAAATTGCAGGTTCTCACTTTAAAACCCAGGAACTCAACTTAGTAGAGTCAGTGCTGGAGTGAAGAAGCCTCATCACCAGCGTTTTACTTAAGTGTTTTCTTGGTAAATACAAATAAAAGTCCTTCTCAGTAAAAATACCCACAAAACCTCGCTTCTCAAGTAAATTTCAAACAAATAATAAAAGTAATATATCACAATGAATACTTTAGCTTGATTGCCGGCTTTCAACCACTTTAACCTGAGAATATGTTTTAGCCCTAATCTCATCCCACTTTCACTTGTTGCCCACATTTAAACACCAACCAGTTCTCACCCATCAACTTATCAGATCGTTTTACATTTATTTCTTTAAAATACTAATCTACATGATAACCCATAGATATTCTGTACAAAGACGCCGTTTTCTTATCTTTCCCTCCAATATGATTCTTTTGCTGGAGGTAGTTCCTATTTCGGGGTGTTTTTCAATGGTTATCTTAAGATGTTAGACTATTGAACTTTACTCAGCATAACAGCGAAAGTGGGGCTTCGATCAGTAACAACAAAAATATCAAATGGTGTTTGATGGTCGCGTCTGATACAATGCTAAAATTTCCAATCATATGGACTGGATGTTTCAGGTAATTGAGTTCCGATAAAAATTGTCATGTAGACGAAGACGATGATGTGGAAGTCCCGATCCTTGGTATTCTCAATGTACGAGCAATCGTTCTTTCCAGCCATGAGTTATTGATTTATTCAGAGCTGAATCAACACAAAGTGACCCAACCAGGTTCCAAACATTGATGAACTGAAGGCCGTTAGTTTATCATTCATCCAGTACGATCGTTTTTGTTCCGTAAAGAGATTGTTTGTCCGTGACAGTCTCGCTTCAAAAGTCATCAATTATGATAGTTTTCGTTTTCCCCACAGTCACTTGTACTTAATGCTGTGAGATACCAGATACCGCTTGTGACTGTTCATCGTTCAGACTTAATTCAAATTTTTATTATGGGAAAAAACTTGCAAAGACTTCGCTTATCAAATCCCTTAGGTTGTGTGCACTTTGGTTCGGAACACGATTCATAAGATCACAGTTAGTCCATGAAAGTAAAATAATAATGTAATGTTTTTGACGAACACAGGAGAATATATTATGTAGTTGGGTGTTG